TCCGGTTTTGACAAAGAATTTATACCCGCAATCAACCTTTATTTTCAGCAGGGATTGGAAATTGTAATCGCTTTAAAATTTAATTTTTAAGCTTGGTTTTGAGGAGCCTAATAAAGACATTTTATAGAATCCATATTAAAAAATCTAAGAAAATATGTATTTTTTATAATTTTGTTTTGTTAGTACAGACGCGGCATTACCTCATTATCAATGGGTACTATTTTTACCTAGCTGCTCTTTAATTTTAGTGTTAGTCTGTCATTTTTTATTTTTTTTATAAATGTGTTTTTTAATTATAATTTTTAATAATTATTTTATAAATAAACGCAGTCATTATTTATCTATGTTATATACACTTAATGTGTTGTTAAATTCAGTTTAATTTATTATTATAAATAGGTACCTATATTTTTAAAACTTCTGTATAGTATTTATGAACACCTATCTGCTAAAATTTCTTAGTATCTAATAAACCGTTTATTATAAAAATGTTATAATAAAATATTTCTACAGGTATACCTTATAATAAACTATATAACTATAATTACTAATGTTAAAATTAACCAAACATTCAATTTTATTAGTTTCTTTAAATCCACTGGTATTATTCACAAGTGGAACGCACTCAAAATGAAAACTCTGGCGAGGTGAAGGTTCAATTCTTTCTTTTAAAATACTATTTATATTATTTTCCTAAAAACGACAGTGCTAATCAACCGCGCTAAGCCTGAAAAACAAAATTATAATTAACCTGCAATTAGTAGATTACTTTTTACCATCTGTTATTAAATATTTAATTCATGTCTACATTACATTGTTGACCACACTTACACTTTTTCTATGACTTACACTTTGTATTTGTATACCCATAGATACGTCTATTATTCTTAATAATACCTTTATTCAGGAGTCCAGTTATACCATATTCCTATATCATTATTTCATTAACGTATTAAAAATATAAGATTTCTCTGAATAAAGTACATTTACAGAAATACATACTCGTGGCATTAAATGGCCTCCGTACACTGTTGCCAAATTTCGGAGACTAGTTGATTAGAAAATATTCTGAGGTATATTAACTGGTATACTTATTTTTATATACATCTGTATATAACAGTGGCGCCCTCATCGGAAGAACGGTGAACCCGATTGTGTAACTGTAGGTGTATCCAAGTGGAATTGACCTCCAGGCTAAAATTTGCCACACGTCCTAAAATGACCTTGACTACCCATAGTAAAGAGATACACGTGCTTACCATTTGGCCTCCGATTTTTCGAATGCGGCTCCGATTTCGGAGCCGCTTTCTTCACAAAAGTATCTATTTCGGATGTGTATTAGACGTTTTGCATATATATATATATATATATATATATATATATATATATATAAGGCTGTTTGACCCATTAATATAAAAATTAATACAATTGTACGAAATACCCACAATTTTTTCCCCTATGTTGTAAAAAATTTAATAACGAACATTTTGATATATTTAGACTTGAAACATTGTTACGTTTATTTTTGCATTTAAAAAAATTTAAAATTGTCAATATATATTTAATTCAAAAAACATAAAATTACAAAACCTCGCTTAATTAATTAAGGTAGAGGTTATTAATCTATCTATTGTAGTATCTCCATTTCAAGAGTTGGCCACAATGGATTGTGGAGTTGGCAAAATTAAGGTTTAAAACTGTCATATTTTTGTAAGTTGTAAGGTGGTAGCACCAAATTTGAAATGAAAATTTTAAGATTTCCATGAAAAATATACTGTAATAATGAATTTCTATTTATAAAGAATAACACGTGTACTTGTGTAGAAATGTAATTTCCCGTGGAATATATTAAAAATTCGTAGTAAATCCGTTAGATACAAAATAAAAAATGGCGTATAAAAACAATGGAACTTTAAAAAATATTTTTTTGAAATCTGCGCTGTAAAAAAATCTGAGGAAATTATTTATGAATGTGTCTGATGCCTCACAAAATCATATCATAAAGGGTGTATCAATAAGAGCGCAAGATTTGAAATTCGCCTCAGTTTGGCAACCATGATGTCACATGATTAATGACATGACAGATTGATAGGAGACAGATGGAAGTTAGTAAATATAGATAGAACAACGATAGAACAACCCGTCCTGATTGTTAAACACTATTATCAAAATGATGAAAGTTAAATTTAATTTAAAATATTGGACGCCCTTAAGGGCGTCCAATATTTTTTCGAAATAATGTTCCTAATTCATCTACTGTGAAAAGAATAATCGAAAAATTTGAAAGCACTGCTTTGGTTCACAGTGGTCCTCGACTAGCCATGGGTTGTATGAAAATGGCGCCAAAAAATGAGTTCGGATTTTGATAGGTATATCTATAAGCATTGCAAAAATTCATCAAGTAAAATCGTAGCTGATCATTAAGGCCCGGATTTTTAGGTCAAAAAGTGATAAAAGGTTCCTAAATTAGGTGATATTTTTAATAAAATAGGTATTTTAGGTACCTATATTTTATGTACTTAACACATACATAAAATATAGGTACCTAAAATACCCATTTTATTAAAAATATCACCTAATTTAGGAACCTTTTATCACGTTTTGACCTAAAAATCCGGGCCTTACTGATCATTAACTTATTTTATGAATGTAACAATTTCGCTTTTTTACATATGTATAGTAGGGTGTGCCAAAAAAACTCGAAATAGTTTTTTTCTTGCTCTCCACCCAAAATATCGTAGAATATGTCCGAACAAATATTCTGTTAAAAGCGGAGCTCATAATTTCAATTTTAAGAGGTCCCTCATCGAATCTGAAGTTTTGCCGCTTAAATAGCACAGAAAACTGACCTTTTTACCTTATTTATTCTTGCAACCTAGGAAGAAATTTTTTTTCATAAAATCCATGACCAAATCTTACAAAGCAATAAACTTGAACGAAAAAATCTTATTGAGCCGAATTTCTATTTTCATTATTTGATTTTTTACAGAGCTTTAAATTTAAAATTTTACGTTTTTTGCCTTTTTCAGCTAAACTATTGAAGTTAGACGAAAAAGTCAAATGGCAATTTTTTAGCTTGTCTGATGGACCACAAAAAAGTTTTAGGCGAATTTTTTATATCGTCAATATTCTAAAAGTTACAGGCGTATAAAGTCATCATTTTTGTATTATTAACTTTAAATTTAAAGCTATGTATAAAATTAAATAATGAAAATAGATATTCGGCTTAATAAGATTTTTTTGTCCAAATATAATGCTTTGTAAGAATTAGTCATGGATTTTATGAAAAAAAAAATCTTCCTATGTTGCAAGAATAAATAAGGTAAAAAAGTCAGTTTTCTGTGTTATTTAAGCGGCAAAACTTCAGATTCGATGAGGGACCTCTTAAAATTGAAATTATGAGCTCCGCTTTTAACAGAATATTTGTTCGGACATATTCTACGATATTTTGGGTGGAGAGCAAGAAAAAAACTATTTCGAGTTTTTTTGGCACACCCTAATGTATAGGCTATGTAGCCTTTAGATTCCTACAATTTTAAAAAAGTACTTTTTATTTTTACAGTGAAAAAAGGTTATTGACCAAAACAAATTCACATATACTCAATATTTGTTACAAATGTCTAGAGGAGAACTCAACAACAGCTTTCTTTAACTGGATTTGATAGCAAGGATCTTGTAAGAGATTTATTTTATATCGGTTCCAGTACTTGACAAACTCTATGAATAGATTCTCCTGCTTGCTCTAACCATAAACCAAGTCCACCTTTTTGAAGAAACTGCAAAGATTGATGATTGACGTGCAATTTAAGTGACTTTGAAAGCCCAGCTCTCTAAAAATAAATTAGTCAAAAATGACTAATTTAATAGTTATTAGTGGCTTTTTCACTTGTACCATGGAATACCATGGTATCCTAAAATTCTTATGTAAAATTCTTTCCTGAATCCGAAAATGTCTTCAAAAGTTAAAAAAGTAGAACAGTTTTTGAGATATAGTCAATTTTCCATTTAATATGGAATTGACTATATCTCAAAAACTGCTAAACTTTCATAATTTTTGACGGTATTTTCGGATTCAGGGGACAATTTTACATAATAATTGGCTTTTAAATTTTGGGATACCATGGCGACAAGTATTGCAGATGGAAATTGAAATTGGAAACTTAGGATTCTGTAATTCAAAATTTCGACGATTTTGTATTACCCATAATAATTTTCTGCCCATGCTGTTATGCATATATGCTCATGGTTGCTTACAATTTCAATAGGGTTCATTTTATCATAAAAGTAACAATAAAACCGACAAAAATATTAGATTTGTGTTTTAAGGCAAACAGTAACTGACAACCCTAGACCAAACCTATAGGCTGTCAACTGACAAGTTAATCAAATATTTCAGTGCCAACTTATCAATGAACCTATAGTAAACTTTTGTGACCTCCAATTATGTCATAGATTAGATATATGTGCCAATTCTTTAAATTAATTTAAAACAATGGTCAAATGTAAACATAAATAAAAGTATCACAAAAACATATTCTTATGATCAGCTATGATTTGACTTTTTTGTAACCTTGATATAGGTACATGCCTACTAAATTAGTAGTACTAATATCTGAACCTATTTTTTGGCGCCATTTTCATAAAACCCATGGCTAGTCGAGGACCACTGTGGGTTAGTGATGTGAAACACACGACACAAGCTCGTTCAGAACAAAATGTCGCAGCAGTTCGCAAGAGTGTGGCCGAGAGTCCAGAGACGTCGATTTGCCATCGTGCAGAAGAATTGGACATTACAAAAGCCACTCTTCGGCGAATTCTTACTTAAGATTTGCCATGTTTTACTAAACTTTGAAATCTTGCGCTCTTATTGATACACCCTTTATGATATGATTCATATAGGTATTAAATTTTGAAGACATTCTATGGAAACTCCTTAAACGGAGATACTACCTTAAGAAGCAATAAAAATAACTATTTACATAATTTCAACGAGTACTTACATGGTTAACTTGGTAATAAGACGTCAAATTTGCTTTTTTATGAACAATTATTTAATAACTCAAGTTATTTATCGTTGAAACTGAATTGATTTCGGTTATCTTACTAAAAAACTGACGCCAATATTTAACCGGTAAGTTGCCGGCGGTCAGGGGGGTATAAGGGGAATTTGACAATAGGCAACAGTAAAATAAATCAAGCAGGCTTGGAAAACCGAGGTGGATGTAAACCTTTGTTGTGATTGGTTGTTCACCAACCCGTCGTTCTCTATCAGCTGTGGTAAATTGCAAATGGCTGAACCGCTTTGTAATTGTGTTGAGTGAAATATTTTAACCAAGATTTTCTTTGTTTTAGGTAAGTAAAATTGTTAATCCCTGCTTTAACATTATATTAGGTGGATATAGGCATGTTTAAGTTAAATGTAGCATCACTACCGCGTTTTTATTAAAAAATACGTAGAATTAACCGTTTCGGTTTTTTTCTCCATGTTTTCCTTAAACAAATGTTATGAAAGTTGTAATAAAACAAAGAGATTATTATTTTTCTATAATAAAACTTATAAAGTGTTTAATTAAACCAAGTTTTCATGGAATTGGAATGGTTTTAACGTTTTTTGAATAAAAATAACAACGTAAATAAACCTTACCTAATACATGTAAGTTTTTAACGATGTTTTCTCGAAATTTTCAATGCTCAATCTATTTAAGTAGTACATTTTATTTAAAAATTAACACTATATACCTAGTTGCTTTTACAATATTCTTATTATTACAAAAGGTATACCTATCCTTGTTTTGGTAAATTTGTAGGTTATCTACTTATAATATTTTGTAAATCATTTTAAATATCAAATTTTTATTTTCCAATTTTGATTACAATACCTACCTACTAATTTTTAAATGCTATTTTAATAGACTTGTATTAACGCAACTTTTGTCTTATTTAACCGACGTTGTAGCTCTTCAAATAAAAAAAATACCCATGCATAGAAGAATACTTGGTACCTTGCATATACAGCTACGCGAAAACTGGACCTGGGTCTAGCCCCCTCATTGGTGGATCAGACGTAAAGGGCCCAACAATTTGGCACTTCATCTATGGTCAACACATTCAACCGCTCTCACAATGTGTGACTTCTTTCTCTGGGGCTTTATAAAGGATAAAGTTTATGAGCCCCAAGATTTGTGAAAACTAAAGACACGAATTGGAACTGCCATTGATGAAATTACCACTCAGACCCTTCGGTTGGGATAGAAAACGTTCGAGTATTTACTAGATGTTTGCAGCTGGAGGAGGTCATATAAAACACTTGTAAGCATACAGTTGAAAACTTGATTATATTACAAATGTTTTGTGCTCTCCATGTTTTTTTTTACATAAACATGGCATTTTGAATTTTTGATCTACAGGGTGATAATCTTTTACAGTATGTTCATAATTATTTTATTTGTTCTATCTGAAAGTCTGACATTTTTAATGTACATAAATAACTAGACAATTCATAAGCAAACCTTTTAAGGAAATATTTTTAAAGTTTTAAATTCAATCATTTTTTGTTACAATATAAATTGATTTTAATTTAATGCATTAATTTTAGGTTTTGCCATAATGGAACAATTAGAAAAGATTTATCCTGCATGAAGAAAAATAATGAAAGACAGCTTTACTCGTCAATCCCAAGCAGAAATATTTGACTTCCAAAATTTTTTAATAATAGGTAGGTAGGTACCTAGATATTTTTTTTCATTTAGAATACATTTTTAGTTACAATTAGGGGTGTGTGAATATTTTTACCAAATTAATTAACTAGTAATATTTAATTCAAACTTAAAATTAAATATTCAAACTACATGAATAGTTTGAATTATTTGAATAGTTAAATAATTACAATCATAATCTATTCAAATAAGATAATTAAGGGTTAATGACAAGTAAATAACATTCAAACTTTTTATTTAAAAATAAATTTTAAATTAAATTAAATTCCATGTTCCATTTCTTCAATTACTATTGGAAAATTTTAATTTTCTTATTAAACCTTTTAAAAATTTGAAACATTCAAACTATTCAAATAATTCTTGAATTCAATATTCACACATCCATAGTTACAATACAAATATAAAAAAAGTAAAAGCCTTGACCATTAAAGAAATACACTTTTATTTTTTACTCCAAATATAATTAAATTGTTTATTGTTAAAAACAAGCAATCTTACATTTTTATATTACATACACTTCTGCTTTAGATTATTATTTAGCAAGATATTAAAAAAGAATATTTTCATGTTAAAACAGCACAAGTTCACCATTATTAGTTTTTATAAGATTTTTAAATTAAAAAATAAACATAATCATATTTAGTTAGTCACTTCCCTTGTTTTTACAATAAACCATTCAATTATTTGCTTCAGCATAAATATTGCGAAATTATTTTTATTTAATTTTAAAAATTATTAGGTAATATCAATCTTTTTACAATTTAAATTGATTTTAAAATTGATATTGATTTCAGGTTTGGGTTTGTGTTAATGGAAGAACAGGACTTGAATTTATCAAACTTCTTTGCAAAAGTACATAGAAAATATTAATTGCAGTTGAATATTCTTCATTGAATCAAGAAAAAGACGCAGGTTCAATCCATGAATCATGAACAAGAAAAAAGACAATTAATACTTAATATTGACCAGAAAGTTAAATCATACATAAAGATTTTAATTTTGCCAAATACATAATTACAATATTTTTAACATTGAGATTTAAGTGGTTCTATTGATTATTAATTTAAATTAAACCAATTTTACTAAAAATTAAATATTCCAAAGAATGTAATTTAATTTTTGGATAAGTAGGAATTCTTTTTTGCCAAAAATTCTATATTTTACAAAACTACAGTATTGTGCTTATTTTAAAAACAAATTATAATCATAATTCCTAAAAATTATAAGAATATGGTTTGTAATAAGTCTAATTATTGCATTAAACATTTTAGGCATTAGCCTTTTGGTTTATTCCAATAAAGAAATTTAATACTACATTAAGAAATCTGAAAATACCTATAGGTATACAATAAGTCAGTATGTATTACAAAATTATTTATTTTTATGAATTACATATTCAAATTTAAACTAATTTTAATTATATAATATACTCGAACTGTTTTAAAAGGTGTGTTTTCTAATAAGGACCAATAAGTATTGAACTATTGTTTATCAAGAATTTATCAAATATTTTAATGGTTTGTAATATGTTTTAGAGTTAATTTGTTTATAAACCTTTGCATTTTTATTAAGAAATCTTAAAAAACCTATAAAAATTGTTATTATGTGACACAAAATTAAAATTTCTGAAAATTATCGCTGTAATCAAGCGATAATTGTCTTGTAGGCATATATAAGAGGGTACCTAATTATCAATTTAATGTCATACTTTTTGATAAATTATACCTAAATAATTATAAATTATTATACATGTTTGATAAACCTTTTTTTAAATTTCACTAAAAGTTATAGAATAATTAACTTTGAATTTCTCCTCACTTAAATATTATTTGTTGGTTATAATTTAATTTAAAATTGAATTAAGTGTATATTTTGTTTAATATATTTATAAAAAAAACAAAAATGTGTGTTTTTCCACTTAATTAGTGGAAAATAACCGAAAATTGTTGAAATTTTATATTTTTTGATTTTTAAAGAACAATATTAACTATATGGTTCTTTAAAAACCCAAAAAAATATAAAATTTTAACATTTTTCGGTTATAATTCCATATTTTAAATAAAAATTCAAAATTCGCGCCGCAGAAACGTGTGGATATTTCCACCAATGGCTTACATCCACCTCGGATTTCCAAGCCTGCTAGATTTAAAAATCAAACAATGCCTGTTGCCACTTTTCACTACAGCGCTTTTAATTCTCTTATGTTCTGTGCCGGCGGTATTCTACCCAAACACTTCTCTGATTCTGGTGACAAAACGAATTCCCCCAGATATTTATTTTGAAACAAACATTTTAAAACCACTTTGGATATCTTGAAAACTTATTTACTTGAAGGTAAGATTTGTTTTAGACTTAAAATATGTTAAATTTCAATTGCTATTAAGGTACAAAATTTAATTCAATTTGCTTCTCTTCTATTGGCAATACCAACCTTAGAAAATTAATGAACCGTCGTTCCAGGTAAGCTGTGCTAATCTTGGCGAGGATACATTAAAAGTAACCCATCGACGACCAATTAGAAGGCTGCAGTGTTGCCGTAGTGTAGTGCTGGGCCGCGGGTAATTTAAATTTTTCGAAATGGATGATGTAAAAATAGTTATTTAGGTCTTAAAATAATCGCGAATGGTTTTCAAACATAAATTTTATAATTTGTGCATAAATTGGCCATCAGTCTTCATTGGTGCTGGTGTAATTTCGCAAAAGCTCGTCTAATATAACGGTTTCCAAACATAACCTCAATATCTTGGCGGCAATTTTCACATTTGTTGTGTCGCGTCGTTTGCTTGCTTCAAGTGTGACTTTTCTGTGTTTTTCACTTTATAGTTGTGTTTTTAGTAGAGATGGGAATCGGAAAGTTTCCATTTTAAGGAAACTCCGTTTTGGAAAGTTTCCAATTGGGAATTTATTTTCATTTTGAAAGTTTCTTTTAAGCTACCGGAAACATTCCTTGGAAACATTCCTTGGAAACTTTCCTTGTTTTTTTCATTTAAATGTCAATTGTTTAACCGCTGATTTTCGTTAAGGCCATGATACAAGGCTAAGAAACTTTGAATAAGAATTTAATTTGTGTTAATTTAAAGCAGAAGAAGTATAAATAATGTAAGTTATGTTACATAACCTCAATGAAGCCGGATTATTCAGCATCAACACAAAAAACTTTTTTAAAAAAAGGTAAACAAAATAAAAACAACAAACAAATTTAAAATCATTCTTACATTTTTGTTGTTTATTTATAGGCATACCACAATGCCAAGAGAAAAATCTAGTGTTTGGAATTATTACAAAATAGTGCAAAAAAGACCATGCTCAAAGCAAGTTCTGTAAGAAAATCTATGTCGTTAATGCAACCAAAAATTTCACAAAATGTTAATGTTTTATATAATGCAAATCCCTAGCATAAAAAAAATATTTTCGCAATAAAAATTTTTTTT